CAAAGGATGATGACGTCTTTATTGAGCAAGATCTGGAGGCGATAATACTGATGTATAACTCGAGTAGAGTGGATAGCCTTGTATAATTATAGTTTTGAGAAACATTGTGTAAATATTTCTTTTATTTTCCTTTGGAGTTGTATATATAAGTCAGACTTATTTCTGGCTAACTACATGGATATAATTATATATTTCTTGAATTTAACTATTTTATTTTATTAATCTTGGAATAGTTACTTAATACTGTGCATAATATTTAAATGGAATATAGTTCCTTGACAATGTTTGTATGGTTTAAATGAGATGTTACAATTTTACTACGTTATTATAAATTAATTAAAAATTATAATTAACAAAGACATTATATTGCTAAATATAAATTTTGAAATGGCTTTTATTATAATAAATAAATAAAAATGAAAAAAAGTTTTTCCAAATGCTAAACATATCTAGACTAATATATATATATAGTAAGATAATTTCTTCTGCTTTATACATTTTGTTTTTAATTTTATTCTTTAAGTATGTTTTAAATAAAACATAAAACATAATTATTTTACCAATTTTATTTTTAAGTGACCGTTTTATTTTTAATTTAATTGTGTTTTTATTTTACTTTTATTTTCTAAAATTTAATTATTCTTTTTGTCAGACCCCATTAAAACGCACCCAAAAACCCCAAATAGTGGGATCCATGTGCCAAAAGGAGAGTGAGTGTCTCAGTTAGTTAGTGGAAAACAGGTGGCTGCAGGAGAGTGGTCGTTCGTTTTGGGTGACGGCAGTATTTAAGGCCAAATTTCAAATAACGTGTCACTTCTCTGCATGTCTTTCTTCTTCTCCAAAACGCTGAAACTCTTTTCTCCTCCTTCTCTCTAAAATCTCCTCCTTCTCTCTAAGAAAACCTTACCACTTCTTCTGATCACCTCTCAGGCACCGCTGAAACACTCCCGACGTCAAGAGCTTCCATTTAACCCGATCGGTTTGTGATTCTGAGCTGGTGAGTTTCCTTCTCTTTAAGCACGTTCGTTCATTCTCACATGTAACTCTCTATTTCTGGTCGCCTGATGGGATAGTATAATTCCGAGTGTTCTGGTTTCTCTGTTTGGTCCAGTACTCCTAAAACGGGATTGTCGAACATTAGGTCTTTGGTAGTGGGGAGATACAGTCTGCCTCGTTGAGCGTTCGGTTACGTATAAAGGTAAGGGAAGCTTATATAATTTAATTTAGCTTATTGTGGTGAATGTTTGTATGCTTGCATGATACGTTTGATTATTTGATGAGTATGAAATATGATTGTACTACTGGTTTGGATGTGTGGATGGACGTATGATATAAGCTGTGAACTGAGTTGGAATAGAGTTTAATCTTCGAACCATAGTATTCTGAGCAAAGGTGATAATATGGTCGAGCGTCATTAGCGAGTGTTCGGTCTTTCTTGGGAGTGCATGGTCTTACTTGAATTATCATGCGTTAGGGATAATGTTTAAGAGTTTTTCTGTAATGTTATATAGGAATAGGTAAACTGTGCCGAGAGTTTGTATTCATCGTTCAGTTTTCGTTGAGAGTTCGTTCATGTTAAGTTCTTCTTATAGAAAGAATTTCGTTAATGAAGAGCGTGTTATAATAGTAGATGTGTATATATGAGTGTTCAGTCTAATTGTAGTTCTTCTTTAGACTTCCTAAACAGTTTAGTTAAATGTGTTATATACTACTTAAGGTCGTAGACATTATTGTTCTTTTTCCTTCAAAATAAGTGGTGGCTCAATTGTATAGATTTATATTCATTCGTTTTATGTGAGTTTATTAGTGATCGGTCTTGAATCAAGCGTTCAGTCTCAGTAGTGCTCATTCTTGATAAGCATTTGGTCTTGGACCAGTGCTCGTTCAATAGTGTTCGGTCTTAAACCAAGCGCTGGGTCTTGTTTTCTTTAATATATTATTACTGTGCTTAGAATCAGAGTCTTCATTCAAACTAGATAGCGTTCGTTACTCCATAGTTTCTCATCAGTATTAGTATTTAGTGTAAATCAGTGTTGGTCTTTAAAAGGTGTTCGACCTAGAGTCTTAGTACTCGGCCTAGACTTCGTGGCGTCCAGTTTGAACTCTTAGGAGTCTGTTTATTGAAGTAGATGAGTAGCGCTCAGTCTTGTTAGTTTCTAAGAAGCGTTATACCAGTCGTACTTGGGCTATGATAAGAACGTATGATCTTATTTCATTTGAATATGTGGATGATAAAGTATGAGAGAATTTGAAATGTGATGTGTATGAAATAGTTTGATTATGAACGAGTATTCTAGGGAGGAATATCTCAGAAAGTGGTTATTGATTGGTAAAGTATGAATGTGGGCAAAGCTTAGCGGACATTCATCCTGATATTCCATGATTACTCGTTCTCATGTAGAGAGGACTAAGTCACGTGTGGGAATGGCAGGAGGTCGTAGTCCATAAGGTTAACTTCGACGGAACATATCAACCTCAGGTGGAAGCTGTTGAGGGCATCCTAGTTACTACATTACCTGGGTGCACGAACGTCGTAGCTACACAGGATTCATACAGTCCGGACAGTCAGAGCCATGTGGTCGTTATTTGCATGCATGGATATATGAATTATGATGTGGTCGTTGTTGGTTTTGTTATGAATGTTGTATGTTGTGATTGAATAAATTAAATTACATAAGCTTAACCTGTTTATCATTTTTGTCTGTGATGTGTGTCATGTCGTTGTCCTGTTGCAATGATCATCCGTGTGGATGTGAGCAAAAGGAGAAGAGCTGCTGGAAGAAGTATTGGAAGACGCGGAGGAAGTGAAGGCCGAACCTTAGGGACGTTCGGTCTGTTTTTAGCTTTATATTTTTGTAAGACCGCTCGGTATGAGTTCCTTTTGTATAACGTTCGATCTAGTGACAATTAAAGTAGTGGTAACTAGCTTAATTTTTAATTCCTTGCTGTTATGTAAGGTCGTTCCGCCGTAATTGTATTTAGCCGAGCATTAAACTGATATGTAGTATTGTTAACATGTGATTATTCTCGGTATGATTTTACACTGTATTTTTGGGATGTTACACTTTCAAACTAAAATAATTATTTATAATAAAAATTATCTACCAAAAACACTAAAAATTACCTACAGCAAAATTATAAAATTTATTTTATAATGATTTGTACTTGTATATTCTGTACTATATTACATTATATTATTATTATATAAAGAGATTTTTTTTTGGCGTACATATTTTCTTTTCCATTTTTATTTTTATTAAGTATTTTTTTAAATTGAGATAATTTTTTTTTTAAATTTTATCCTTAAGTGATCGTTTTCTAAAATTTAAAAGTTTTTTATACGACCATTTTTTAGCTAAATCATTTTAAAAATAAAATTAAAATTACTTTTTATTATAATAATTGTTTATACTTATTTTTATAATTCTAATTTTATTATTTTTTCTGATCATAAATGTGCAAACTTGCTTTCTGGTAAAAAAGTCATCTTTCAATTTTACCCTTTTAGTAATTATTTATTTAAATTTAAATAATTATTCATAATAAAAAAACTTATTTATACATTAAAATTATTGCCTATAATTAAATTATAAAGTTTTTTATTTCTATAATTATTTTTTTATACCAATTATTTTATAACTTTTATTTTATAGTTTGTTAAAGTTTATATATATATATATATATTTATATAACATGATGAATAGAATTTAACCTAATTAATAAAATATTAAATAAAATTTATAGATAGATTTGGATTACCTTAACTATTAATTCTAGTTACAAAAATTATAGTTTTAAACATACAGGAATCCATGATAGAAAATAAAATAAGTCATTTTATTTGATAGTTTGAAATATTTTTTAAGGAAATTAATACAAAAATGATCAAATAGTTGATTAAAAACTGAAGTTGAAAGTTAAAAGAATATATGATTTAGAACTTAATAAAGAGACTAAAATTAGGTTATAAATTGGCATTTCTTAAAAGAACCAATATATTAATATTTTAATAATATTTCTTTCATATTTTAATACTATATAAAATAAAATACATTCAATTTATAACTTATTATAACAATATTAATAATTTATATTAATATATAGTGTCAATTTTCATTTTCCTTGAATGATTATATTTATGTATACACCTTTTATATATATATATATATATATATATATATATATATATATAACTGCTCATATTCAAAATTTGATTATTTAATTTTAATTTTAATTTTAGTAATAGTACATAATTGTAGACAGGTCCAAGTGTAAAATATGACTCTGTTGTTAATTTCTAAATTGAAAAAAAAAAGTATAAAAAATAGTAATTGTAGAAGTGGTATTTAGAATACCGGTTTATTGGTAGTTAGTAAATTTTAAAAACTTAAAAAATCAGATAGTTTTAATAATGGTTTGAAAGAATGATTTATGGTTAAAAAATAAATTTAAACAGAATAAAATGAATAGTTTTCAAAATAATTTATTAAACTTTTAACACTAATAAAAGAATAGAACATAATAATGTTTTGCCTCAAGGAAGGATCCAGATAAGAGAATAATAGAATATTATATCCAAACATAAAACACAACAATAAACCAGATCTATTTCCATTGAATATAAAGAACAGAAAACAAATAAAAAACATAATTTTCAAACAGTAAAATCAAAAGATAAAAAACAGAGCATAACAAACAAAAACCGGTATAGTTCTATTATAAATCGAATTTAATTAATTGATTAATATATATATTTGCATGTTATTAAATAATAAAAAATACTTTATACATGATTTAAAAAATAATTAGTATGAAGATAACAATTTTAGTAATGTTTGAATTGATAATAATTAGGGAAATTAAATATGAAAATTGTGGTAACCGTAATTGATTTATTTATTGAAACGTATTTATAAAGTAAGTTGGATGCGTGGAGGTATTTTGAAAGCATACTTGTCGAACAAGAAGAGTTGCAAAGAGATAGAAATAGCGAAAGGAGGAAGCAATTCCAAACACTTTCACCCTATTGCGCACTTCTCACTCTAGAGGCCCACCCACCCTTTCTCACTCTCTCTCTATCTCTCACAGCACCCAATTTCTTTTTCTTTCTTTTTTTTATTAAAAAATAAGACAAGGAATAAAAGCTCTGAATTTTGGATTGCCTTCTGTTTCATACAATTTCGATTGATTGCAATGACAAGGCCTAATCAAGAGGCGGTTGAGACATTCGTCAGCATCACTGGTTTGCCTGAGGCAGTAGCGCTGCAAAAGCTCGAGGTATTCTTCCCTCTCTCTTTTTTTTCTTCCAATTGTGAAAGTGCTTCTTAATAGGTTTTGATTGGGATCCAAAGCACAAAATTTGATGTAATTTGTAATAGATGTTTAATTGATCCAAGTTAGGGTTTTTGGGCATTGCTTGATCACTTCAGTTAATTTTCAATTATTTATCAATGTTTATTATCTTTTGCTTTCAAATTACATGAATTATGTAAATGGGACTCCTTTGCATACCCATGTTTTTTCTTTTGGCGAAATTTGCAGTTATTCAGTTTTTTTTCCCTCTCTAGCTCAAATATATAGATGGATTGTCTAATACTTCTCGGATTCCTTATATCCAATTCATGGATAACCGCTTTCATAGAGGTTTAACTTTAGTGAATGAACACATAAGTCCTCCAGGTTTAACTTTAGTGAATGAACACATAAGTCCTCGCAGTTAGGGTGCAAGCATTATTCTAGGAATATAGGAAATATGGTTCCTTTTGTGATTTTCATTTGTTTTTTATCATTATATGAAGTTAAACATGGAGTTCATTATGCAGAGAAACATATGTTTCATCACTAATGAAAATGTTAGATATCTGCTTTATAGTAAATGCTAGTTCTTGTAAACTAACAACGAGGGCCAGCTAACTATATTTGAAAGTTTGTGAATATATTATGACCAATGACTGAGCTGATCTGTTTTAGCTACTTGTCTGACCTCAGATGATTTTTTTTTTGTTAGATGCTTATACATGAGATTGAAATCTTCTTATTGCAATAATTTTTTTTTTCTTAAGTGATCAATTACTCTTATGTGAGCTTTTGCTTTTCATTGCTCTACACAGACGATCTGATTGTTATCCTATAAAAGGATTTAGTGACTGATTTATTTATACTTGACAAGTTATGTAACTAAAGACTAAATACATTTTCAGTGGACTCAAGTGGTTATTTGTATATATGCTCTTCATTGTGTAAATATTATTTTGTGTCAGGAGCATGGAGGTAATCTCAATGAAGCAGTCAATGCACATTTTAGTGAAGGAGACAGAATTTTAACAACTGGGTATAGTCTCTTTTCCATTAGTAAGCAAGTGATTATTGAGAAACATAACCCATTTTACTGGTATTACTGTTTAATGTTTGCATTTTAATTCTTTATTTTTGGAGTTTAATATTTTTATTCCTTCATGGCCAGCACTCACAGTAGCTCTACTGCATTTCCTCAAGATGATTTCATGGATATAGATGATCAACAGGATGCAGATATTCAGAGAATTCCTTCACTTCCAGCTTTAGCAGCAAATGTCAATCCGTTTTCTCTTCTTGATCCTACACTTGGGAGAGGTATATTTGGTACTCCTCTTGATTCAACTGTCCAGGCACCCTTTGTTACACATCCTAGGGAGGTGAGGGAGATTCCTATAGAGGTTAAGGAGGGTAACCAATCCACTACTCAATCTGGTCATCCATCCATTGAAGATGTCACTGGAACTGTTGATGCCCGTGGTCCAGATATCCATGGGACTGTCATAATCAACGATGAAGATGATGACACTCCACTTGCCCAGATTGCACATCAAGATGAGCAAAACCATAACATCCTGGCTGATGCCTCACTCAATACCCGTGCTAGACCTAGTGCTCCTGAATCTGAGAATTTACCAGATTATAACAATGACATAGAAGAAGAAATGCTTCGGGCAGCCATTGAGGCTTCTAAACGGGAGGCTGAGGAAAATTACAGAACTCACAAACTTGGAAGACAAACTGTATGTGTTTTTCTTGATGGATTTTCTTATGCTTTGCTAAGCATGATGTCTGTGTTGGTATTTATTTTCCTCTTGGCGCAGGACTCAACTGAATCAGGATCACAGTCAAGGCAATCATATTTGGAGGATCCCGAGCTTGCCCATGCAGTTTCATTGTCCCTAAAGGTATCCCTCTAATTTGTATTTTCTACATCTTAACAGAGTTTTGAATTTTTTTTAGCATTGGAAATTTCAAACCTGGATTTCCTCTAACATGAAATGAGTTCAGACAGCTGAGCAAGAAAAAGCATGGCGTGTACAAGGAGGAGATTCTGAATCTCCACCAGCCGGGCCATCAAAGTCATCAGAGGCTGGACCAGTGGAAGTGGCATCTAATGGAAGGTACGTTATCTCTTCTACTGTGCTTGCTGTGCACCTGTAGCTGTTGCTCACTGCTGCACTAAACTAAGCATTTCCTTCAAGGTACATTCTCTTGGATTGTAAAATTTGAAATGGGCAATTGTGGTCATTCTAGGTTGCAGGCAGGAAGCTTGTCCTTTCATGATGAAGCTGAAGATATAGAGGAGCAACCACTCGTTAGGAACAGATCTAGACATATGTCTTCAGGATCCGCAGGGTCAGTCAAAGATGTTGAATTTGCTGAGGCTAGCACACTACCAAGCACAGCGCCACAGGAGACCAGTAATCCTCCTCATAATAGAAATTCCTTCCCCTCTGATGAGGTATAGCCTTTCAATTTTTCCTTTTCAAAAAGAATTACTATTCCTTTTCAAGAAGAATTACTATGTTTTTACTTGCCACGTCATTTCAACTTGTCCCTGCCTCTCAATTCCCAATCTTTGACTACAATGAGATTGCAGTGGGGTGGCATATCTTCAGAGGAGCATGATGAAGCAGTAATGCTTGAAGCTGCAATGTTTGGTGGAATCCCGGAAGGTACTGGATACCAGTATGCTTATGCACCACATGAGTTTATGCAAGGTAGGGGTTCTAATCCTCGTGCCTCATATCGCCCACCTTCACCATCACTAGCAGCACAGCGTTTGATAAGGGAACAGCAGGTATGTCTTGTTTCTCAAATAGTTTGGAGTTGTTGGTTGTTGATGGTCTAATTGTAGTTATTGCTGTCTGTTTATTCATGCAGGATGATGAATATCTTGCATCATTACGAGCAGACAGAGAAAAAGAATTGAAGGCCAGAGAAGAAGCCGAGGCTGCTCTTGAAGAGGAAAGGCGGAGAGCAGAAGAAACTCGCAGGAAATTACAGGAAGAGCAGGTAGTGCAATTATAACTGATAGCACTTCTTTCTCTTGCCCCATTCTTCAATCGTCCTACCCTGTTTTGCTGATTGGAGTCTGTTTTTAGTCTTCACACTCACTAGAAATGGCCTTTATAGCTAAATTGCTAGAGTTACCATTGATATCCTTTAAGTCATTGACACCTATCATTATCTCCTCTTAATTCAAGTGTGAATGTTATCAGAACTTAGAGACTCTTTAACTAGTATTAGAAAATAAAAATTCTGGTATAAATATCGTCAGTCAAGAATCGGTCCATACTTGGTCCCAGAAAAAAAAAAATCTGTATTTCATATCATGTACTTGTTCTGTATCCTGGATGTGTGGCCTTGGGCAGATCCTAGCTATAAATTGATTGTCTTATGCAAAGAAAACAAACATTTCCAAGTTGCTTAATCTTGGATTTTGCATTAATTGTGTCAGGAATTGGAAACACAATTAGCCGCCAAAGAAGTTTCCCTGCCCCCAGAACCATCGTCAGNTATATATATATATATATATATATATATATAACTGCTCATATTCAAAATTTGATTATTTAATTTTAATTTTAATTTTAGTAATAGTACATAATTGTAGACAGGTCCAAGTGTAAAATATGACTCTGTTGTTAATTTCTAAATTGAAAAAAAAAAGTATAAAAAATAGTAATTGTAGAAGTGGTATTTAGAATACCGGTTTATTGGTAGTTAGTAAATTTTAAAAACTTAAAAAATCAGATAGTTTTAATAATGGTTTGAAAGAATGATTTATGGTTAAAAAATAAATTTAAACAGAATAAAATGAATAGTTTTCAAAATAATTTATTAAACTTTTAACACTAATAAAAGAATAGAACATAATAATGTTTTGCCTCAAGGAAGGATCCAGATAAGAGAATAATAGAATATTATATCCAAACATAAAACACAACAATAAACCAGATCTATTTCCATTGAATATAAAGAACAGAAAACAAATAAAAAACATAATTTTCAAACAGTAAAATCAAAAGATAAAAAACAGAGCATAACAAACAAAAACCGGTATAGTTCTATTATAAATCGAATTTAATTAATTGATTAATATATATATTTGCATGTTATTAAATAATAAAAAATACTTTATACATGATTTAAAAAATAATTAGTATGAAGATAACAATTTTAGTAATGTTTGAATTGATAATAATTAGGGAAATTAAATATGAAAATTGTGGTAACCGTAATTGATTTATTTATTGAAACGTATTTATAAAGTAAGTTGGATGCGTGGAGGTATTTTGAAAGCATACTTGTCGAACAAGAAGAGTTGCAAAGAGATAGAAATAGCGAAAGGAGGAAGCAATTCCAAACACTTTCACCCTATTGCGCACTTCTCACTCTAGAGGCCCACCCACCCTTTCTCACTCTCTCTCTATCTCTCACAGCACCCAATTTCTTTTTCTTTCTTTTTTTTATTAAAAAATAAGACAAGGAATAAAAGCTCTGAATTTTGGATTGCCTTCTGTTTCATACAATTTCGATTGATTGCAATGACAAGGCCTAATCAAGAGGCGGTTGAGACATTCGTCAGCATCACTGGTTTGCCTGAGGCAGTAGCGCTGCAAAAGCTCGAGGTATTCTTCCCTCTCTCTTTTTTTTCTTCCAATTGTGAAAGTGCTTCTTAATAGGTTTTGATTGGGATCCAAAGCACAAAATTTGATGTAATTTGTAATAGATGTTTAATTGATCCAAGTTAGGGTTTTTGGGCATTGCTTGATCACTTCAGTTAATTTTCAATTATTTATCAATGTTTATTATCTTTTGCTTTCAAATTACATGAATTATGTAAATGGGACTCCTTTGCATACCCATGTTTTTTCTTTTGGCGAAATTTGCAGTTATTCAGTTTTTTTTCCCTCTCTAGCTCAAATATATAGATGGATTGTCTAATACTTCTCGGATTCCTTATATCCAATTCATGGATAACCGCTTTCATAGAGGTTTAACTTTAGTGAATGAACACATAAGTCCTCCAGGTTTAACTTTAGTGAATGAACACATAAGTCCTCGCAGTTAGGGTGCAAGCATTATTCTAGGAATATAGGAAATATGGTTCCTTTTGTGATTTTCATTTGTTTTTTATCATTATATGAAGTTAAACATGGAGTTCATTATGCAGAGAAACATATGTTTCATCACTAATGAAAATGTTAGATATCTGCTTTATAGTAAATGCTAGTTCTTGTAAACTAACAACGAGGGCCAGCTAACTATATTTGAAAGTTTGTGAATATATTATGACCAATGACTGAGCTGATCTGTTTTAGCTACTTGTCTGACCTCAGATGATTTTTTTTTTTGTTAGATGCTTATACATGAGATTGAAATCTTCTTATTGCAATAATTTTTTTTTTCTTAAGTGATCAATTACTCTTATGTGAGCTTTTGCTTTTCATTGCTCTACACAGACGATCTGATTGTTATCCTATAAAAGGATTTAGTGACTGATTTATTTATACTTGACAAGTTATGTAACTAAAGACTAAATACATTTTCAGTGGACTCAAGTGGTTATTTGTATATATGCTCTTCATTGTGTAAATATTATTTTGTGTCAGGAGCATGGAGGTAATCTCAATGAAGCAGTCAATGCACATTTTAGTGAAGGAGACAGAATTTTAACAACTGGGTATAGTCTCTTTTCCATTAGTAAGCAAGTGATTATTGAGAAACATAACCCATTTTACTGGTATTACTGTTTAATGTTTGCATTTTAATTCTTTATTTTTGGAGTTTAATATTTTTATTCCTTCATGGCCAGCACTCACAGTAGCTCTACTGCATTTCCTCAAGATGATTTCATGGATATAGATGATCAACAGGATGCAGATATTCAGAGAATTCCTTCACTTCCAGCTTTAGCAGCAAATGTCAATCCGTTTTCTCTTCTTGATCCTACACTTGGGAGAGGTATATTTGGTACTCCTCTTGATTCAACTGTCCAGGCACCCTTTGTTACACATCCTAGGGAGGTGAGGGAGATTCCTATAGAGGTTAAGGAGGGTAACCAATCCACTACTCAATCTGGTCATCCATCCATTGAAGATGTCACTGGAACTGTTGATGCCCGTGGTCCAGATATCCATGGGACTGTCATAATCAACGATGAAGATGATGACACTCCACTTGCCCAGATTGCACATCAAGATGAGCAAAACCATAACATCCTGGCTGATGCCTCACTCAATACCCGTGCTAGACCTAGTGCTCCTGAATCTGAGAATTTACCAGATTATAACAATGACATAGAAGAAGAAATGCTTCGGGCAGCCATTGAGGCTTCTAAACGGGAGGCTGAGGAAAATTACAGAACTCACAAACTTGGAAGACAAACTGTATGTGTTTTTCTTGATGGATTTTCTTATGCTTTGCTAAGCATGATGTCTGTGTTGGTATTTATTTTCCTCTTGGCGCAGGACTCAACTGAATCAGGATCACAGTCAAGGCAATCATATTTGGAGGATCCCGAGCTTGCCCATGCAGTTTCATTGTCCCTAAAGGTATCCCTCTAATTTGTATTTTCTACATCTTAACAGAGTTTTGAATTTTTTTTAGCATTGGAAATTTCAAACCTGGATTTCCTCTAACATGAAATGAGTTCAGACAGCTGAGCAAGAAAAAGCATGGCGTGTACAAGGAGGAGATTCTGAATCTCCACCAGCCGGGCCATCAAAGTCATCAGAGGCTGGACCAGTGGAAGTGGCATCTAATGGAAGGTACGTTATCTCTTCTACTGTGCTTGCTGTGCACCTGTAGCTGTTGCTCACTGCTGCACTAAACTAAGCATTTCCTTCAAGGTACATTCTCTTGGATTGTAAAATTTGAAATGGGCAATTGTGGTCATTCTAGGTTGCAGGCAGGAAGCTTGTCCTTTCATGATGAAGCTGAAGATATAGAGGAGCAACCACTCGTTAGGAACAGATCTAGACATATGTCTTCAGGATCCGCAGGGTCAGTCAAAGATGTTGAATTTGCTGAGGCTAGCACACTACCAAGCACAGCGCCACAGGAGACCAGTAATCCTCCTCATAATAGAAATTCCTTCCCCTCTGATGAGGTATAGCCTTTCAATTTTTCCTTTTCAAAAAGAATTACTATTCCTTTTCAAGAAGAATTACTATGTTTTTACTTGCCACGTCATTTCAACTTGTCCCTGCCTCTCAATTCCCAATCTTTGACTACAATGAGATTGCAGTGGGGTGGCATATCTTCAGAGGAGCATGATGAAGCAGTAATGCTTGAAGCTGCAATGTTTGGTGGAATCCCGGAAGGTACTGGATACCAGTATGCTTATGCACCACATGAGTTTATGCAAGGTAGGGGTTCTAATCCTCGTGCCTCATATCGCCCACCTTCACCATCACTAGCAGCACAGCGTTTGATAAGGGAACAGCAGGTATGTCTTGTTTCTCAAATAGTTTGGAGTTGTTGGTTGTTGATGGTCTAATTGTAGTTATTGCTGTCTGTTTATTCATGCAGGATGATGAATATCTTGCATCATTACGAGCAGACAGAGAAAAAGAATTGAAGGCCAGAGAAGAAGCCGAGGCTGCTCTTGAAGAGGAAAGGCGGAGAGCAGAAGAAACTCGCAGGAAATTACAGGAAGAGCAGGTAGTGCAATTATAACTGATAGCACTTCTTTCTCTTGCCCCATTCTTCAATCGTCCTACCCTGTTTTGCTGATTGGAGTCTGTTTTTAGTCTTCACACTCACTAGAAATGGCCTTTATAGCTAAATTGCTAGAGTTACCATTGATATCCTTTAAGTCATTGACACCTATCATTATCTCCTCTTAATTCAAGTGTGAATGTTATCAGAACTTAGAGACTCTTTAACTAGTATTAGAAAATAAAAATTCTGGTATAAATATCGTCAGTCAAGAATCGGTCCATACTTGGTCCCAGAAAAAAAAAAATCTGTATTTCATATCATGTACTTGTTCTGTATCCTGGATGTGTGGCCTTGGGCAGATCCTAGCTATAAATTGATTGTCTTATGCAAAGAAAACAAACATTTCCAAGTTGCTTAATCTTGGATTTTGCATTAATTGTGTCAGGAATTGGAAACACAATTAGCCGCCAAAGAAGTTTCCCTGCCCCCAGAACCATCGTCAGATGATGATAACGCTGTTAATTTGCTGGTAAAAATGCCAGATGGCAACCGTCGTGGACGCCGATTCCTAAGATCTAATAGGCTACAGGTGATAGTCTATTAGAAAGTATTGTTTCTCTTCCTCCCCCCCCTTTTTTTGTTGTGCACAATTGTACTAAACTTGCTTCCGGATAATTTCAGTCTCTGTTCGACTTCATAGACATCGGTAGGGTGGTGAAACCAGGCAGTTACAGACTGGTATGAAATACCATTACCTTTCAGTTTTATTATTGATACTAATTTTTCAGGGAAATGGTTAATTTGTACTGTAATTTTAATTTTAATGTGATTGTCTTTTATGTTATTGTTGGGACAGGTGAGACCATATCCTAGGCGTGCTTTTAGTGATGAAGAAAGTGCTTCAACTCTGGCTGAACTTGGCCTAAACAACAAGCAAGAAGCTTTGTTTTTGGAGTTAATCTGATGCATTGTTGGAATTTGCTACGAAACAAGCTATTGAAGTTTTTAGTTTATTAATTAAAATTAAAATTTGAACTACAATACACAGACGGATATGACATTTTAGTTTAATCTGGGATTGTACTGTTTGGGTGATGCAATTTATAAATTTACAGATCTACATGAAATACAGTCATTTTTACTTGTGATTACCAAATCCTTATGCCGATTATTTGTATATTTTGCGGTAAGATTGAAATAATTCATGATTAATGAAATTGCAGATGTTCTATTATGTGCCCACCTTCTTTCCAAAGAAAATTCCAATTCCAATTTAAAGGCTACTTATGCTCTATTAATCTCTTTTTAGTACAAGAAAAAGAGAGTCAAGCTTACTTGTACCATAAGATAAGAAATATAATGAATTATTATACAAAGTATTCAATACTTAATAGACTTTTAGTTATAAACCATTTCTTTAAAGGTCAGCTCTTAGAAATGTCCCCATAATTTGATTTGGTTCAACTAAGGGAAAAAAACCTAAATAGACAGCATTCATTTTGCTTCTTTTTCTTGGCTAAATCTAGAACAAACTAATTCAATCAAGAATTAGGGAGCTTGGTTTTGTCAATAACAGTTATAATATTTTTTCATTAACAAATAAATGGATAAGGGATTCGTGGTGCTTAATTCAAATAATTTCTTTTAACTAATATATATATATATATATATATATATATATATATATATGTATGTATGTATTCAATCGAATAAAAATGGCTAGTATTTTTCTCATAATTTTATTTTAGCTACACATATGTACTCCGTTCATAAGTTTCTTCAGTTAAACATGAACTAAACTAACGAGTAATTAGGTAGATTGGTTTGGTTAATCTCATTTTCAAAATATAGATTCATTTCTTTTAACCAATATATCCAAACGAATTGGATGTATTCCGTCCATAATTTTCTTAGCTGATCATAAACCAAACTAACGAAAAATTAGGTAGCTTGGTTTGGTTAATCTCATTTTGTATGTATCAAAATATAGATACAAAATTCACTTTTATTAGTTCAAAATATAATTTCTTTTAATCAAACCAATATTTACTGCGAATATTTACTGCGAATATATACAATCAATATAAAACTAAAGTTGATTAGTTTTCAATATATGTTTTAAAATCCTACCTGTCAATCAACGGACGTCAATGAAATTATTTTAGGATTTAAAATATATAAATTAAAATAAAACTAAATCTCTTCGGTCTTAACATTCAAAATACATATAAAAGTTTAAATAAAATTTATCTATCATACTTTAATATATATATATATATATATATATAATATGAAAGATGTTAAATGCATATATTGGAGTTTGTTTTGAAATAATATGAATTATAGATGTTGGTAATTGTTAGTGAGAAATGGAAATAATGTCAGATGAATTTTGATGCATTGGTTCGGGATTTTCATGGTTTTTTTTCTTTGATAGTTAGAAATGTAGTTCTTGATTTAGATATTGTACAAGCACAAGTGATGTATAATGATTGTACTATCTATGCACGCTCAAATATTAGAATGCACATTCAAGCAATTTGGATGATAGCTTCAAGTGAGAAATCTTAATTTGAGCAAGAGAAAGCAAAATTATAGTTTATTTACAAACAAAAATATATTTAATTATAATTTTAGTTTATTTAAATATTAATTATTTTATGGGTATATAAATATTAAATACTATAGCAATAGCGACGAATATTATACCAATACTGATGTAAAAATTTTTATTTTATAATTGGATGTTTGAATGTATATTTTAGAAAATGGTATTTTAAAAAATAGTGATTATATATATATATATATATATATATATTAATAATTAAATATCTGTATGTTTATATGTTGTAGATTCAACTTTAGCGGCCATTAATCAAAATTTCAAATTTATTATAACATCTGGATTTAAGTAAATTTAATACTCTTAATTGTATTTGACGAACCATTAAATTACTCAAACGAATGCTGATTATATATGTTTTTATAATTGTCTTAAGTTAATAATAGTGAATTAATTAAATAAAAAATATCAAGTATCAATATATATAACATTAAAGTTTAGTTTTTATTCAAATTCAAATTTTAAACAAATTCGATGTATATAAACATATAAATACTATAATAACAATAATGTTTAACATTAAATTGATATTTATATGTTTTTTTATTGTATTTTTGAATGAGATATTTTGAAATATATTTATAGAAAATAATAATAAATTATGTTAAAGGATTTTTAGAATCCATCTCTCTCTTTCTCTCTCTCATATATTTTTAAGCAAATGCTATATTATAAGTAATTAAATTTAAATAAATAATAATTTAAAAGGATAAAATAATAAAATAATTATTTTAAATTTAAGAATATAAAATTTAAATGAACGGTTATTCGAAAGATAAAAATAGAAGAATAATTAATTTAATTTAAAGTAACCGTTACCTAAAAGTGAAATAAAGAAAATGTATAAAATCTTCTATATATAGATAGATATATATAAATATACAATTTACACGAATCTGGATACTTCAGAATCTACAGAAAAAGAAAAGAAGAATGTAATGTGACTCTTGGGCTATTAACTTATTTACATTCACTTTTTGAGTTATGCAAAATAACTTTATTATACTGATAATGTACAAGTTACGTCCTTATGAAATTATTTTTGACAATTTTTATACTATGAGTAAATTTTGGTAAAGTATAACGTCTTCTAGAGTAAAATAAGTGGTCTAAAAATCTCCCAGAAAAAAAAAATATTTAATAAGGGTGAAATATTAAGTGAAAAATACATTAACCAGAAAAATAAAATTAATGTTAGCATGATTAGCATAGGATAAATGAAATTATTCTTCTCACTTTCTAAACACCAAAATAACTAGAGCAGTCAAATCGTCATCAATGGTCAAGACGAGGAGGAGCATCCAATTCTGGGACCTTCTCCACTCGTGTGCCACGTGTTTCACTAGACACCATCATGAAAATAAAATATGCTCTGCAAACTGTACTTAAAATAAAAAAGAAAAAAAAAGTTGTGTTTATTTAATGGAGAAGTATGATCCTCCATCAAAAAAAAATGAAAAAAATACAAAAAATTTAATTAGAAAACAAATAAAAAAGTATTTCAAAGAAGGAATAATAAGTGGTGTAATTATAAGGTGTAAAAGTAACGGTCAAGTGAACGGATATCAGGGGACAATACGTGCAACGTGGCACGTGAAAAGTCTGAGTGGCATGAGTTATGCGTACACCAACTCCCTCTCAGCAACGGTCATATTTCACCGACATGGCGCAACGGTAACGTAAATCCCCAGCTGTGGACCGTTGGATCTGAATCGGAGGGTGCAGGAGCAAAGTGTTTCTGTCCCTTTCCGAAGCATGTTGTCATCATCATATTCCTTACTTTTGCTCTCATGCTGGTAGATGAAAGCACTCGTAGGACCAGAAGAGAAGAGAAGAGAAAGAAGAGAAGAGGGGATAACTACAACTACCTACTATGATGGAGTGGTGAAGAAGAAGAAATAGTAGAAGTAGAAGAAGAAGAAGTGTATAACGCAACATGGTGGTGGAGGAAGATCGTACGTAGTTTGTGATATATAAAAGCACTGGTAAAGGTTTGTGTTATCTTTTGGGTAAGTGAGAGGGGGGTGGGGGGTTTCTAGTAGTAGTCTTCTCTTGTTCCTTCTACTTCATTCAAGCAAATGCTGCATGTTTAAAGTGCATTCATTCAGAGGTTGGGTTTCTGCCTTTTACTTCACCCGCTGCTGCAATGACGGACTTGTTCAACGTTTCCACTGCTAATATGCCTTTCACTGTTTCTCAGGACTTCTTCTGCTGCCAATTCCAAGGTGTATGTTTCTGTTTCTCATCCCTTCTTTCTCAACCGCAAACCACTTCACACTTCCTATAATGTCCCTTCTTTGAACGTTTCGGGAATCCGATGATTGCATTCATGTCTAGCTAGCACTTTTTCCTTACGCTCTTCCATTCTTTCATTCTTTCCTGCATATACCAATAACTTCTTATTCTTTTCAAATTACATTTACTTTCCATTTTTTCCAGATTCAATTCATATAGGAACACTTGGGATTTGTAAACATTAAATCAACCCCAAACAGTTTCTTAAATTCATCGGATTCCTTTGTTTTTGACATAAAAAGAATTCTTTAGAAAAAATTTCCACACACTCACATAGATTTTCACACTGCATTTTCTCTCTTCTTCACATACGCATGCGGATTAAGCTTTTAGAGGAAAAGAATAGTACATATATTTTGCATAGTTGATCAAAGTTATTACTAGATAAAGAGAAAGGGAAGGGAAAGAGAAGCAGCAGCATTGGGGTTAGTGAAACAACAGGCCTTCCAAAAAGCATAGACGATGTTGGCTGGGTGTTCTAGTTCGACATTGTTGTCACCGAGCCACAGATTGAGGAGCGAAGCACCAGCACCGTTTCAAGCCTGCCATTTCCCGCGACCTTCCATGAGCACGCAGAGGTTGGATTTGCCATGTTCTACCTTCACCCGCAAAGACGGCTCTTCACGCTCGCAGCCCCTCAGGCCAGTGGGGCTCTCGGTGGAGAAACCCATAGAAGCCAAGACCAGCACATGTTCTCTCAAGCACAACATTCGACTCCCACCTTTGGCCATCACAGCTGCAGCACCATTGGTTGAAGAGTCCATCAAGGACAAGAGTTTGAAAAGGCTCGCGGAGCACGATGAGTCCTTCACCAACGTACCCAAGAGGAAAAAGGGTATCACGGAGTTTGACAATTCCGGTGATAACTTTTGGTTTCAGCCTGGCGTTGAGGGTAACACTTTAGGAGGGCTTAACAACACTTCACTTGCTTTCTCCCCGGAGGAAGAGACGGTTTGTTTTGTTCCTTCTGAACTGGTGTCTCATTCTGCACCTTTTCCCTTAAACCCGTGGCTGGAATCGTGTGTAACAAAGATCACCAACTTCGGTGAGGGTAGCCACCGTCCTCGCCAGCATCACAACGACCATGCAACTGAAGGGTCGGTCTCCAACGCTTCTTCTGAGAGCCAAAGCCTGAGGCTAAACGAGAACGCGTCAGATCATGAAGTGGGAAACGGTTCGGGAAATCCTTACCGTCATCACGAGGTGGAG